TCGGCTCAGGGCCTGTCTCTTTTGCTTCCTGTTGAACCTTTGGAAATCACCTCAAGGAGAATGCTGGGAGCTGAACACCGACCCAGCCCCCGACCTGGCGCCAGACCCCCAGAGCAGCCCCAGCTCGTGAAGACCCCTCGGCCAAGGCAGACCAGTTCAATAAAGGAAAACCAATGACAGAGGAGCACTAAAGCAAAACCAAAAAAACCAAACAAAGGAAAGAAGGGAAGATCCAGAAGTGCCATGGAGTCAATACATTTCATAAGAGAATATGGCTTTGAGGCACACACCGTCTGCACGGGAGGGGCCGGACAGGGAGCAAAGAACGGGAAAGGCACGGTGAGCAGAGGATGCAAGACTGGAAAAGAGAGAAGAAAGAGAAAGAGGCCTTTTCTTCCCCCGAGATGCCATTTATGAGAGAAAAGGGAACTCAAGACTCACTCCCAGCAGCGCTGGTGGGATTGGCAGCAGAGAGAATTACGTGAGTAGGGGTAGAAAGATTGGTTACGTCATGGAGCTGGCTGAGGACCGAAGACCGCCGGCGCAGGGCACCCTGAAATGAAGCGCTTCTCTTGAAGGTACTCACTACCTCCATCTGTGGGAGAGAAAATGAGATAAAGTTTGGCTTGCACTGTTATCCGGCGACTGCAGCAGGGGCGGGGCTGGGAGCAGAGGGACCACGCTGGGCACCTTTCGTGACAGCAAAGCTTCCTCGCACGCCGCCCGCTGGCGTGTCTTTGGACGGGGTGGGTGGAGTGAGGGTTTGCTGAGCAAATGATTAGTGGTCACAAGGTGGAGTGGGGGGGTTAAAACTCAGGGACACACTGCAAACGTTTTAGAAAGAGTCATTGGCATTCACGATATGCTCAGGACAAGGCACTGGTCAGTAAATACCTGTGTCTGGCAATACTTTGTTATCCTAGGTCAGTAGCTCTCAACCTTTTTTCCGTCCCAACACACCTGAGGGACATGACACACGCCCATTAGATACGAGGCCCCTCGACACGCACTGTCCTAGTTTTGTAAGTTCTCGAAGCAGTGGAAATCCCATTCACTAGTCAGCCTGCCCTGCTCCGCTCGAAGCTAGGGCCCTCCCTCCCACTCTTTCAGCTCATCCAAAGAAATTGGGTGTGGGGCACCCCTAGAACATCTCAGCAGAAAAATGGCTTTAAAAGAGGAGGAGAGAGTTCTCCAGAAGCATCTGCCCTGTCTTCTCTGAATGCCTTCCCACAAACCCACAGGCATGAAGGGGAGGAAGGGCAGGAATGCTGGAAGGTTTTGAAAGCAAGTATTGCTTTTTCTTTGTTCTCCACCCTTTCAACTTCTAGCTGAAAGGGATGTGGGTCTGTGGAAAACAAGACCGTTGTTACGAAATCTCTGACATTCCACCTGACAGCACCTGACTAGAATTGGAACTTCTTTCTCATCACACTGGGGTTTGGGGTCAGCTCAGACCCAGATGGTGGGATCCCAAGGAACCGTGACCAAGTGGTCACATCAAGTGTCCCCTGAAGGGGAGGCCACACACCTAGAATCAGGGAGGCCACTTTTGGGAATAGCCTCAGTGGGGGCAAATCTTTGGCCTTAGAGGGTGGATCTGACTTCTGGAAACTGCCATACAATGACTGGATGACGTGAGCAGCAAAGCAAGCGTGCCTTTCTGGACCCTGAAGCGCACTGCCTCCTCTCAGCCCATGGAGTGGGGCCCTGTTCCACCCCAGGCCCTCGGTGGTCTTCCTGGAAGAAGGCAGCTTGGGTGTTCAGACCCCCTCCCAACCAAAATGAAGATGGACATCATCTCAACCCTTGTCTCCCAGCACTGCGGGAAGGACTGGTTGTCCTTCTACTGAACTCGCCGAGCCTCCCTCCTACCCAGCACAGCCAGCCTGTGAGAAGGGGAAACCCTGGGCCGCATCTGAGGGCTCCCACGGCCTGCATGTGCCGAGTGTGTCAACGCGCCAAAGGGAGACTTTGGTCGATGTCTTTGTGTCGCAGTCTCTTTGGGGGCCCATTTCCTCCCCTAATTTAGTAGATGTTTCTAGGGTTATGGAAACAGGTCTCCTTCAAGAGACAAGGCATGGGGATGGGAAAGACACCTTGCCCAGCTCTCATTTGCGTCTGCCCCGCCTGGCTCCTGGCGGTGTCCTGACAGCACCGACTAGCTCCTGGGGCGCAGGATGATAGTATCAGTCAAGATACCGCAATTGTCACTGCCCTGCGGACATCCAGGCTCCAGACCAAGAACACGGCCCAGTGGCCAATGGAATGTCACGCTGTCGTATCATGAGTTCTTTGAAAAGCTCCGTGCACTCAGTTTGAAGGACGTATCTTTCATTCCAGAATCGTACCCTAACCATGTTGTACGTTAATAGTATGACATGATGGCGAGAGCAGATAGCCGTTTAAGGAATGTCTTTACTTAGCAGCATAAGAAGTTACGTTGGCCGCCAAATTTGGCGGGGGAGAAATTTTGTGGTTTGCAAAATCCAGAAATCTGGGGAACGGCTGCCTAGAACATGACTCTCGTGGGGCATAAAAGCTGAGAAGCATGGTGAATTCAAGGTGACAAAGTCAAACGGCAGAGTTCTGGGGAAGAGTTAAAGTGCGTTTATTGCACAGACAGGCGGTGCTCAGGCTTCTCTCGGGCTGTGGGATGGGGGCAGACTGGACCCTGGCCAGCCTTCGCTGTGTGACCTGGGGCGATCCCTCCTCTCTGGGCCCTGGTTCCCTCGTGGGTAAAGCCGGCAGTGGCCAGGGCTCCTAGCTCTGACTGATGGGACCCGATTCCACCAGCCAGGTGGCAGTGGCAGGCCCGAGAGCCCACAGAAGACAAAGAGACCCAGATGGCCAGTGTGCCCCCGCCCCCGAGGCCTCAGGGTGGCCCAGGACTGCTGTCACTGCCTTGGGCTCCATCAACAAGAGTGATCCTCCTGCCCTCCACCCTCGCTACCCCGCAGGGGCCAGCTCCGGGCTCCGAGGAGCCATGCGGGCCAGGGTAGGGCTCTCAGGCACCATCTTGTAGAAGACACAGTTGAGTGGCCAGGAGGGCATGAAGGGGAGACGTGGGCGCTGCTTTCTAACACCACACGTGCTTTTTAATGTAGGAAATGAAGATTGACTGCTGGGAACAAGAACCCCCTGTGCCATGCCCTTAGGGCCTGGAGCTGATCCACGCCAGGGCTGAATGACCACAGCTCAAACTCCTGGGCTCAGGTGCTGGGGGCTGCCTTACCGCCCTACACACTCCCAGTCTCTGGGGGCGGGCTGGGGGCCCTGCAGCCTCGGGAAGCTTCCAGGTCATCTAGGTCTGGGAGCACAGACGGCCACACCGTACATGTGACGGGGCAGGAGGGGATGAGTCTGAGATAGCCCCCCCACAAGAGGGAGGTGGCCACTGGCAGACTGTTAGGCTGAGGAGGGGACCCTGAGGCAGGGAAGCGAGCACAGAGGCAAAGTGGGGCAGACGGCAGAGCACGCGTGCATTTGGGAAGAGTGGGGAGCCACACAGGCAGGGCCTTGAAGGCCATGGTCAGGGGCCAGTCCTTACCCTTGGGCTGACGGGAAGAAGCTACCCGGGCTGCTGAGCGGAGTGCCTATTGGAGTTGGAGGGACTGGGCTGAGTCACGCGGGCAGCTGAGAAGGTGGGAGACTGGGCTGGGACTGAAGAGGCGGGGTGGCCCAAGGCTGGTCCCGTGAGAAGGCCCATATCCAGCCCGAGGGCTGTCTGTGCGAGCTCAGGAGAGAAGCTGGGGGTGCCCTGGTGGCTGTGCCTAGTGGGGGGTGGAGGGTGGCGAGAGACCTGGAGGCGGATTGGGAGCTGTGGGCAGAGGGGGCGGGGTTGGACTGGGATGCATGCTCCAGGGGCCCACAGGCTGGGTGTGCACCCTATGCAGTGTGAAAGGGGCTTTGGGGACGCCTTAGGGGCTCTGGCTTGGACAGTGGAGCCGCCGCTCGCTGGGTTGGGTAGCCTCAGAGGGGACCAGGCTTAGCCGACGCGGGAGAGGGGGGCTGGGGCGTTGAGTGTGAGTCCTGTGGGGCGTCTGGGGGCAGGTGCAAAGCTAGGGGTGGAGGGCTGACTGACAAGTGAGGCTGGCGGGTTCCTGGCCGGGTGGCAGGGACCTTGCAGGATGAGGCGGGGTGAGTGAGGGTTGCTGGCGGCCATCTGGGGATGGGAGAAGGGGTCTTCCGCAAGGAGGCTGCAAGGGGAGTGGCGGAGCTTCCAAAGGTCTGAGCTGAAGGCGGGGACAAGGAGAGGCAGGCACAGAGACGGAGAAGCCCCCGCGGAGGGCGGGGAGTGCAGGGTGGGAAGCCGCGTCAGGACCAGGCGGGAGGAGGGAGGAAGCCTTGGGGGCCCTTGGCGAGAACTGTTTCTGGGCCCGGGGGGCGGAGGTCAGCTGCAGTGGGATCAGTGAGTGTGAGGGAAGGGCATGGAGAGACAGTGAGTATGGAACATTCTGGAAAGAAAGCTGGCGGCGAGAGTTGGGGCAGAGAGAGGGCAGAGCACCTCCTGCTGACTTTACAAAAGACTTTGGCTGACGGCCTTGGCCTCCAACGGCTCTAATGTTTGGCGCTTTGGGTTAACAGGAAGGAGTTCACAGTATGACCCAATTAACAGTGAGCCCGCCAAAGGCCATCTGAATGGGTGTCATGCTCACAGGCCTTGGGAGGTTCCCACTACCTAGGGAGAGGCCAGCAGCTATGTGGACAGCCTCTGAGGCGCAGCGAGTCATCAGCACACACCCCAGCTGACACTCGTACACCTGCTGCAGGGGAGGGCCACCCGGGCTGAGGGAGGTGGCTGGGGGGCTGGGTGGGCACCTCAGCATCCCATTACCTGTGGGCCTGTCTGGGATTGCAAAAGGGGAAACAGCAACTGCTTTTGTGATGGTGGCAGCAAGACCAAAGGGCTCTCTGGCTCTCCGGCCCCTTCTAGGCTCCTCTCTCTCCCTCTCCCCTCTCTAGGCTGAAAAGCCCAGTCGCCAAGTGAATCGGTGGCTTACCTGCGTCTGGATCCGGTTGAGGCCTCGGAACCAGAGGATCTGGCCCCTACGGAGCTCCCGCTCGGCGTGGTCAATCTCCTCCTCCCCCTCGGCCAGCTCGTCGTCAGTCATCTCATCCTTCCCGGGCCCATGCCCTGCCTCCTTCAGGCACTTGAGCTGGCTGGTGGGGATGGTGGCGATGACCTGGGGACCAGAGCCACGGGACAGGAAGCAGGGATGGCATCAGTGCAAGCCTTGGCCCTCGGCATCTAGTCCTTTCTGGCTCAGAACCTCCCATGCCCTCGGCCCTGCCCAGCTCCATGAACCCCTGGCTTGTGCTGGGAAGGAGCCCAGACTTCCCAGGATTCCTTTTGACCCGGCTGCTGCCAACGGCGTCTGTGCCCACCCCTCCAGGCATCCCGGACCCTTGTTTCCCAAAGCCCTGATCCCTGAGGTCCGTCTTGGGGATGGATGCCCCTGCCGGACCCTGAGGTTGAACCCTGGGTTGCGTTTGCCTGGTGCCAAATTATGCTCCCCAGGGGAGATGCCAGGATCTTTCCTCTAGAGGGTGTTTTTTCTCACGTTTAAACCAAGGCAGGAAACCAAGCCCAGCCCTGGAGGAACGGGGCATGGTGTCCGCGGGCGGCCATGGGCTGATGAGCTGATTCGCTGCAGCCTGGGTGGGGCCTGGGCGGGACCTGCAGGGCCCCAGTGTGCACTGGTGGGCCCCCTGCACCTGTGGCTGGGCTCCAGGGAGCCTGAGGCCGTCCTCCTTGTCCCCAGATACCCTCAGGCTTTTCACACTATCCCCAAGTGCAAAGGCCTGGAGGGGGGCTGGGGGTCCCCTAAGTGCAAACCCAACAGTGTTCAGTCCAGACTGGGGCTGGGGGCACCTGCCTGGGTGCGGTCGAGGGTCTGAGTTAATTCCACTTTGAAAGGGATGCCGAGCTCGGGCCCCAAACTGAAGTCTAGAGCTGGGGGCTGTGGTTGGGAGAGGCCGGGCAGCCTTGGTGGCTGGGCCGCTGCTGGGTGGCTGCCAGACCCGAGGCCCTTGGGGTGGGACCCAGAAGCCCAGGACTTGGTAAGGTGCTTCTCACCTGCCCAGTTTGTACCTGCTACATCGAGGCATCGCACTTGGGTGCAAACTGCACCAGACCACGGTGGACACAGAGCCCCCTGGGCCAGACTCCAGCCCTGAGGTGGTAAGGCTCACAGCCTCCCTTGGGGACAGAGGGATGGATGGGAAAGATGCTGCCATGGCCAGATGAACTGGCTGGGAAGGATGAGCCCGAACTTTCCAGATCAACAGGGCTAGGAGAACAGAGACTGGTGTGTGCAAAGGCAAGGCTGTGGGAGCAAGCCTGGCGTCTGGAAACCCAAGGGCAGGGACCTGAGGTGAGGGTGGCGCAGCCCAGGCATGAGCGGGTGGGACAGGGCTGAGACTTGAGGTCAGAGAGGAAGGAGGGGGCAGGGAGCTGGTGGCCCTCGAGGCAAGAAGGGACCAGCCCTGACAAGACTTGGGGGTAGGAGCGAATGCCTTCTGGGCTTCGGCTGAGCCACCAAGTTGTCAGGGTGCTGGGGGAGAAGCAGGCTGGGGCACACTGCTTTTGGGGGCCGCCGGGACCCCCAGCCCTGGAGTAGAGCAGAGAGATGGGGAAGCAGATGAGGCCAGGAGTCCCGCCCCCACCTCAGGGAGAAGCCGAAGCGGCCACTGGCTGTCAATGGCAGGCAGGCAGGAGGGGGTTTGTTGGTGACCTGGCCTGGGGAAGGATGGGGGCCGGGGAGGGAGGGCTCAGGGAGGAGGCACAGAGAGGGGATTGGGCACATGCAGGAGAGAGGGGTCAGGGCGTCATCTTGGGTACAGAGGGCGTGGGCAAAACATGGCTCTGGGATGGGGGAGGAGGGAACCAGGAAGTGGGGCGGTGCTGTTAGGGAAGAGCCACAGAAAGGAATAGCGAGGGACGCTGGAGTTCTGGAGCAAGATGCACAGTGTGATCGTGGCTGAGGAAAACGGATTTCTGCGTCTCAACCACCTCAGACACGTGTGTCTGTGTAGGCCAGAAGAGGTGGCTCTGCCACGCTGGCTGTCACTCGTCCCTTTGATTTGATTCTTTTTGTTGGCCGGAACATGTTTTATTTTTGCAATTTGGAAAAGGTGAAAGCTCAAGGACTGCATGATGGCCCCCAGAGACCTACTGTGGGGCCAGCTAGGGCTTGTGCAATGTTGGGGGGCTGGGGCCAGGGCTGCCACAGGCAGGAGGAGAGGTCTGGCTGCCGCTGTGATGGGCGGGGCCTGACGAGGCAGGGGAGGCAGCTGGCATGACTGGGGTTGTAGTTAGAGTCCGGCTTTCAGAGAGTGAGGGGATTCAAGGAGGTCCCAGCTGTGACTGTAGGGGCTGAGAGGCAGAGGTGGAGGGAAAAAATTTTTTGAAAATGAGATGGAGGAAGTAGGTGGGTCATCTTTGCAGCTCCTGTGGCTGGCTCAGGGGGACACCCACAAATCAAGAAACCCTAACCCAGAGTGAAGTGGATCCTGGACTTAGCCTCCTAAGCCAATGTTCTAGAACTCTGGAGAAATGCTTTCAGAAGCCTCTGGTATGCACATGGCCTGGCCTTGCTAAGCTATTGTGTTCTGACAAATCTATAGCCACCCAGTGTATTCTTTCCTAATATAATCACTTAAGGCTATAAATTTCCCTCCAAGTACAGCTTTAGATGCACCCCCAGATCTTTTTTTTTTTTTTTTTTAGCTTTAAACAAAAGTTTATTTCTTATTCACTCTTAGTATTTTGTTTTTGTTAGTTGCCATAGATTCCAACTCATGGCAACCCCTTTTGTTACAGAGTAGAACTGCTCCACAGGGTTTTCTTTGCACCCTCAGATCTTGATATATTGTACATCAGCTCAAAATATTTTCTAATTTCCCTGAGACTTTCTCTTTGATCCATGGATTATTTAGTGGTGTGTTGTTTAATTTCAAACATTTGGGGATTTCCCAAGCCACCCAGCTTTAAGGGGTGATTTTCTGCTCCTATCGTGGGAAGGTGGAGCTCTGGTGGTGCAGTGGTTAAGCATTCAGCTGCTAACCAAAAGGTCGGCAGTTCGAATCCACCAGCTGCTCCTTGGAAACTCTATGGGGCAGTTCTACTCCATCCTATAGGGTCGCTATGAGTCAGAATCAACTCAATGGCAACGGGTTTGGTTTTTGGTTTATCATGGGAAGAAGAGCAGCAGGTCGTTTTCCTGGGCCCTGTGACATTCCTGTCATGGTCCTTTGCATTCCCTCTGCTGATGCTGTTGCATGTGGCATTGACCTGGGTCAAGGTATGTCAAAGGCCTATGAGGCCATCCACCTGAGCCGCATGACACGTGCCCGTGTGCTTTCCTTTCCCAGGAGCAGGGCTGGAGACCCTGGGCATCCCATGATCCTCTGCACCGTACCCATTACTGATGCCGTCTGAGGAACGGAGTGGGGCTGAGAAAACCATCAAGGCAGATACTCACCTGTCCCCAGACCAGCTCCCCAAAACCAACAAACAGGCACCAGAGCCACTGTTCCGTGGACAGGGGGGAGCAGCTGAAGGGTTTCCCACCGAACTGGACAATGATAATCTGCAGAACAAGGATGAGGGGGAGACGGGTTCCAGCAGCAGGCCCCAGACAGCCGGGTGGGTGTGGGGCTTCTCCTGCGGGCCCAAAGCCCCCTCGACCCACCTCCAGCACACTACCTGCCCCATGCCAAGCAGGCCCTGTGCTGGCCACGCCTGAGCCCTCTTCTAGCAGGCCCGCCTTGTCCCCCTCCTCTAGCTCTCAGGGCTCACCTTGCCTTCGGAGCCAGCTCAGCCCCGTGATGGTCCAGCCATCCCACTCCTGTCCCAGGCAGACAGACATTCCCTGGAAGTGGGCCTGGCTTTCCTACCTCTGAGCTCCTTCCCTTCATTTCTCCCTTAGAAGTGTCTAAAGAAGACTTTACAGATGGGCTGACAACAAGGCCCAGGATGCCAACAGAGTAGATTACATTCTCACTTGGCCAACCCCACCCCCGCTGACTCAGGGGCCCTGGTGACAGCCCTCGTCTAGCCCTCCTCCTGGAGGCCAGCATGTCAGCACTGCGGGAAGAGGGCATCTTCTAAAGAACCTTCTGGAATTCTGGTGCCCTTGCCGAGATCAGTGTGTCAGCACTGGGGCAGAAGGCATCTCCTAAAGAACCTTCTGGAATTATAGTGGCCTCATGCTAAGGAATCAAGCAATGGGAACAGCAGAGCTGGAGGGAGCTGGGCAGGGTCAGTTCTGGAATCTGTGAGAAGAGTCTGTTCTGATCACTGCACCCCTCTCAAACCCAAAAGGTCAACCAGGGCAAGTCCAGGGTTGCTTTGAAGGTGAAGCAGAGAGGGCAGGGGGGTTGCATGAAGTGCCAACAGGGGCTGAAAGATCAGGAGGGGAGGGAGGCCAGGACCAGGAGCCTACTGCCCTGCTCCCCAACCCCTACCTCTGCTGCTGGGGGGCGGGGGGAGGCCTGGCCTGGAGCTGCCCTCCTACCTGGATTCCAAAGGTGCCCAAGACGATGGTGCAGAAGATGGGGTTGCTGAAGATGCCGTCGAAGACGTTCCTCTCCCCGTGGATCTTGCGGGCATTGATCTCATTGAAGAGCTGCATCATGACGAAGGTGTTGAAGATGATGGTGTAGTGCTCAGATGGCGGCGAGTGCAGGGGCGCGTTCCTCCCGCTGTCGATGTCAAAGAAGAGCTCCCCTGGAAGCCAGCGAGGCGCGCAGGACAGGAGAGGCCCTGAGCAGCCAGTGTCGCCTGAGCAGCGCCGGGGGGCCGCGTCAGGGGCCCCGTGCACAGCCATGGGGTGCCCCCCACCCAGTAGAGTACAGGGGGTCATGAAGCCCCCTCATGGCCATCTCAGCCCGTGTCTCATGAGAAACGTGAGCTGTGAATGGGGTCTGGACTGAGGGGGCTGGCACTGAAACTCTGAGGTAGGAATGAAGATGCCTGTTTTCCTCAGACGTACTGTGTTTCTCGGGGTCTCTGGCCACTCATGTGCTGGGTTGAAAAGGGGGCGGCAGAGCAGGCTCCAGGGTGCAGGGTGCAGGGTGGGCCCAGCCCCTCCTCTGCCCTGCTGCTAAGACTCAGGCTGAGGGACAGTGACTGGGGGCTTCTGCTCCCAAGAAGTCAGTGTCAGGAAGGAAGGAGGCAGTGGCTTGGACTGTGGGTGTTCTCCCGGCAGTTGGGGTGGTCAGTCTGCATCCCCTCTGATGCCCTTGCCTCCCTTCCTCCTTCTGGACACTCTGGCCCTCCTCTCTGCTCTGATGGCCCAACCCCTCTCGCGTCAGGCCTGAACAGACGCTGTCCTCGCCATCACCACCCTCCTCCCCTCTTCCTCCCTCCTCTCCTGTCTCCCTCCTTCCCTCCTGCTCCTCCTCCCCCTTGTCACTCCCTCCTCCCACAACTTCCAACAGAGCACCCTGCTCAGAGTCAGCTGAAGAGATGGGGGTAACTGGGCGGATGGACGAACAATGGGTGATGGGCTGGGACTACCCCTGCCTGCCTGCGGGATCTGGGTCTGGGTGGCTACACTGGGCCCTGGGCGCCTACCGACAAAGAGCAGGGTGAAAATGATGGTGAGCTGGTAGACCGCGTGGCCCAGGATGTTCTTCATCATGGTGCGTGAGATCAAGGGCTTGTCCCGGCCGTATGGCTTCCGCAGGAGCAGCGACTCGGTGGGTGGCTCCGTTGCCAGGGCCAGAGAGGCAAACGTGTCCATGATCAAGTTCACCCACAACATCTGCACAGCTTTGAGAGGAGAGTCCTGTGGAGAGGAGGCAGTCACCCCTCGCATGGGGCCAGCCGCCCCGGCCTGGCGCCCAACAGCCCGCTGGGCTCCTGGGGAGAAACTCAGTTTGGGGTCAACATCCCTGGTTTTGCATTAACACAAAACTGTAATCAATGCAACAAATCTGAATTTCCCATTACAGCGTGACTTCTCCGTCCTTCAGTTTTCTTTAGTTGGTTGTTATTCTTGTTAGTTGCCATTGAGTCAATTCCAACTCATGGAGACCCCATGTCTGCAGAGTAGAACTGCTCCATAGAGTTTTCAAGGCCGTGACATTTCAGAAGCAGATTGCCAGGCCTGTCTTCTGAGGCACCTTTGGGTGGGTTCGAACTGCCAACCTTTTGGCTAGTAGTCGAGTGCTTAACCATTTGTGCCACAGGGCTTTTTCTCTGGGCTTTCAGATTCCTGCCCTTAAATGTGACTGCTCTCACATGATCCTATATATAAAAAAATCCCAGAGTCTACAAGAAAGCTTCTGGAGCTAATAGAGGCATTTAGCAAAGTTGCAAGGTACAAGTTCAACACAGAAAAATCAGTTGGGTTTCTATACAGGAGTTATGAGAAATCTGAAAAGGAAATTAAGAAAACAATTCCATTTACAATAACATCTGAGAATAAAATACCGAGGAATAAATTTAACCCGGGATGTAAAAGACTTATACAATGAAAATCATAAAACACTGCTGAAAGAGATTAAAGAAGACCTAAATATGTATTTAGAAGAAGACACTTCATGTTCATGGACTGGAAGACTTAATACTGTTAAGATGTCAGTACTACCCAAAGCAATCTATAGATTCAACACAATCCCAATCAAAATTCCAACAGCTTTCTTTATAGTTATGGAAAAAACAATCTTCAATTTTATATGGAATAACAAGAGGCCTCGAATAGCTGAAGCAATTTTGAAGAAGAACAAAGTAGGAGGATTCCCACTTTCTGATTTCAAAACATACCATACAGCCATAGTAATCAAAACAGCTTGATACTGGTATAACAATAGACAGAGCAATGGAATGGAATTGAGAGTCCATAAATAAACTCACACATCTACGGTCAGCTGATTTTTGACAAGGGTGCTAAGACCATTCAATGGGGAAGGAAGAGTCTCTTCAATAAATGGTGCTGGGAAAACTGGATTTCCACATGCAGAAGAATGAGTCAGGATCCATGCCTCACGCCGTACACAAAAACCAATTCAAAACGTAGCAAGGACCTAAATGTGAAATCTAAAACCCTTATATTCTTAGAAGAAAATATAGAGGTATGACTGTCGGGCCTAGTTTTTAACAAGCGAGTATCTGATATGATAACAAAAGCACGAACAGCAAAAGACAAAATAGATAAATGGGACCTCATAAAAATTAAATACTTTGTTCATCAAAGGACTTTATCAAAGAAGTGAAAAGACAACTTACAGACTGAGAGAAAAATTTTGGGAACCATATATCTGATAAGGGTCTACTATCCAAAAAATATATAAAACTTCTACAAGCTAACAACAAAAAGACAAAGAACCCAATCAAAAAATGGGCAAAGGACTTGAATAGACATTTTACCAATGAGGATATTCAAATGGCCAACAAATACATGAAAAGATGCTCAACATCTTTAGCCATCAGAGAGATGCAAATCAAACCCACAATGAGATACCACTTCACTCCCACTAGGATGGCTAAGATGAAAAAAAAAGTAAAGGAAAATAGCAAATGTTGGCGAGTATGTGAGGAAATTGGAACACTTATCTATTGCTGGTGGGAATGCAAAAAGGTACAGCCATTGTGGGAAACAGTGTGGCAATTCCTCAAAAAATTAAAAATAGAACTACCATATACCCAGCAATCCCACTTCTAGATATATACCCAAGGGACTTAAAAGCAGTGACATGAACACGTATATATACACCAATGTTCGTTATAGCACTATTCATAATGACCAAAAGGTGGAAACAATCTAAACGTCTATCAACAGATGAATGGATAAACAAAATGTGGTTCATACATACAATGGAATACTACTCAGCCAGAAAGAGAAATGAAGCCCTCATATATGCTACAATATGGATGAACCTTAAAAATATTATGCTAAATAAAGTCAGTCAGACACAAAAGGACAAATATTGTATGATCTCATTGATACGAATGACAAGAATAGGCAAAGTATAGAGACCAAAGTTTATTAGTGGTTACCAGGGGCAGGAGGGAGGGGGAAAGGGGGGAGCCATTGTTTGGGAAGCAGTGAGTTTCTGTTTATGGTGATGGGAAATTTGGCACTAATTAAGCACAATGGCTGCACATCATGATTAATGTAACTGGTATCACTAAGTTGTATACCTGTAAAAGACTGAATTAGCAAACGTTGTGTTATATATATATTTACAACACCAAAAACAAAAACAGTAGCTGTTGATGCTGGTTATGTACAACCAAACACCTCATGGGATTTGGTTTCTTGGTCTGGAGGTTTAGGGTCATGGTTTCACGGAACATTCCAGTCAGTTGGCCTAATACTGTTTTTAGTGTTTCTTTTCTACCTCCTAGCTCACTGTGTAGTGCCTGGGGTCTTAAAAGCTTATGAGCAACCATCCAAGATACAACAATTGGAGCAGCAATTTTATTCTATGGAGCAGCAGAAGAAGAAAGAGCATCAGGAATCAGAGGAGGAACCGGAATTTATGTCTAATTGCCTACATGAACAACTGCCTCCTTTGCCATGAGGCTGGAAGAAATGGATGGTGCCCAGCTACCATTACTGAACTTTTTGATCAAAGATTCTATAAAAGAATCTTGATTAAAAGGGGGAAATGTGGTATAGAATTTCAAATTCTCACGGAATCCAGACTTTCTGGAGCTATTGAGGTTGGATGACCCCCGAGATGGTTGCCCTAAGGTACTCTTTAATCCTAAAATCTTAAACAAAACTATCCCCTGAAGTCATCTTTAAAGGATGTTTGCCTTGAGCATTATGCTGTTTTAAAGAATTATTTATATGTGATCAAATTGACAAGAGCAACTTGAAAAGTTAGATGAGAAGCTTAGGGGGTGTGATGGTTAAGGTTGTGTGTCAACTTGGCTGGGCCATGATTCTCAGTGGTTTGCCAGTTATGTAATGTAGTTTGGCAATTATGTAATGATGTAGTCTGGCAGTTATGTAATGATGTAGTTATCCTCCATGATGTGATCTGATGTGATCAGCTAATCAGCTGTAAGGGGAGTTTCCTTGCAGGTGTGGCCTGCATCCAATATATATGTGGGAGTCTGGCAAAACTTGCTCGCTTGCTCTGGATTCTGCATCCAGCTCATTATCATCTGACCTCTGTTTCTTGGGACTTGAGCCGGCTGTATTGCCTGTTGATCTTGGGATTCACTGGCCTCTGCAGCCTGTGAGCCAGTAGCCTGCCGTCTGACCTGCCTATCTTGGATTCATCAGCCCCTGCATCTACGTGAGTCCAGAGCTGCTGCCTTCAGCCTGATGCCTGACCCATGGACTTGGGACTTGACAGCCTCTACAACCACATGAGGCATTTCCTTGAGATAAATCTCTCTACCTATGTATATATATACACACATATACATATGCTTCACTGGTTTTGCTTCTCTAGAGAAACCAGCCTAAGAAAGGAGCAGTGAGTTTATGTTAATTTCACAATAATAAGAAGAAAAAGGAAAAAAAAATGTGACTTATCTCGGGTCTTCTCTCACCTGGGGCTAGCAATCTAAGTGATGGGCTCCAAATTGTTAGCAGAAGGTTAGAAACCACAGTTAGTTACCCGAGACTGGGAAACAGCCTGACTGATGGGACAATAGAGGGACAGGTGCTCCCAAGGCTCTCACATCAGAAAGGGCAGGACAAGGCAAAGACTCTGAACCTGACCTTCCTCTCTTCATCTCCTCTGATTTTGTTGGTTAAAATCACCCTCATAGAATCCAGACACAAAAATCCACATCTTGTATGATACCCTTTACATGAAATTCCAGAACAGGCAAACCCATAGAGGCAGAAAGCAGGGGCTGGGGGAGGAAGGAATGGGGAGTGAGTGCTGATGAATCTGGGGTTTCTGTCTGGGGTGATGGAAAGTTCTGGAACTAGATGAGGTGGTGTTTGCACAACATGGTGAATGCACTAGAAGTCACTGAATTGTTCACTTTAAGATGATTAAAATGGTGAAATTTATGTTATATGAATTTTACCTCAATTAAAAAAATAAGCCTTGAAAGGATCAAGTTGATCAGCAACTAAATTAACTATCTGCCAGCAAAACGAACTGGCACATTTTAATGGGAGAAAAATAAATCCTGACACTCAGCAATGGGGAAAATTCGACTATTCATAAAGGGGAGGCGCTTCCTCCAAAAGTTGAATGTAGGATTCCCACGTGACCCAGCAATTCTGCTCCTAGGTATAGGCCCAAGAGACTTGAAAGCAGGGACACAAACAGATACTTGTACACCAACGTTCACTGCAGCATTGTTCACAATCGCCCAAAGGTGGAAACAACTCAAGTGCCCATCAACAGATGAATGGATAAACAAAATGTGGTATATACGTACAATGGAATGTTATTCGGCCATAAAAAGTAATGAAGTACTGATATATGCTATGACATGGATGAATGTTGAAAACACGCTACATGAAGTAAGGACAAAATATGATATGATCTTACTTCTATATCTGGAATAGGCAAATGCAGAGTCAGAAAGTAGATTACCGTTTACTGGGGGCTGGGGTGAGGGCGAATGGGGAGCGAATGCTTAATGGGTCGGGGGTTTCCTTTTGGGGTGACGGCAATGATCTGGAACTGACCGCGCTGATGGCTGCACAGTACTATATACTAACAACCGCTGAATCACACACTCTAAAACGCTGCATTTTTTAGTATCTGAATTTTAGCTCAATAAAAAAAATCACTCTCATGACCTGGTTCTCAGCCTGAGCCCTGCGGCCCGTGCCGCCACCTCTCGGGCCTGGGCTCCCTTCAGCTAACTCTCTACCTGGGGCTCCAAACCGACAGAACCCATGCGTACCCATCAGCCCCAGGCCTTGTGGGCAGGAGAGCCCCGGTGCCCACCTGAGTAATGCAGGCCCCTGTGAAGGCCACAATCACCGCCACCACGTTGACCGTCAGCTGGAACTGCAAGAACTTGGAGATGCTGTCGTAGACATTGCGGCCCCACATCACCGCCTTGACAATGCTGGTGAAGTTGTCGTCGGTCAGGATGATGTCGGAGGCCTCCTTGGCCACGTCTGTCCCTGCAATGCCCTGGGGCGTGCATGCACACAGTGTCCGTGGGGTCCCCCTCCTAGCTCCCCTCGACTACCCACTGAGGACTGCCTCCTCCCTTCCCTTCCCAACCAAGCTCCCCCTAGCTGGGAACAGCCCTCGTCTTTATCCCTTGATGTACAATGAATGGCAAGTTGTCTCACGTCATGGCAACAGAGGCTTCGCTCAGAAGATACAGAGGGAGCTGATGACATGGCCTAGTGCACTTCAACTGATGCCCTTCTAAGAGCCAGCTGCGGCGACATGGCACCAGCCAGCCTTCTGCCCCATATTAGTGCCCTAAAGAGGCTTTCTCTCTAAGGGGCCCCCACCAGCCCTGGGTAGGGAGGCCTTTGGTGAAGCGAGGGCACAGCTGTGTCTGGACGACACTGCATCGTCTGACCATTTGGTGACTCTAATGCAGCCCCTCCTCACCTGCCCTCTGTAGGGCCTGGAGCTTGAGTTCAACCACGTGGGCAGTGAATCAATCAATGAGACCCCAATCAAATCTCTGGACACGGAAGCTCTCATGTGCTTCCTGGTTGGTGACAGACATCAATGCTGGGAAGGTGACACGTCTCTGGGGACATAGGAGCTCTGCATTGGGGACCCTCCCAGGCCTCATTCTATGTGTCCCTTCTTTATGTTGGTCCTGATTTGTACCCTTTATAATAAAGCTGTCACCCTAAGCAGAGCGCCTTCCTGAGTTCTGCGAGTCATTCTAGTAAATTATCAAACCCAAGGGGCAGTGGGAACCACGAATTTGTAGCCAGTAGATCCAAAGTGCAGGTTCCTGGTGGCCCCTGAGCTTCTAGCTGGTGTCCCAAGGGGTAGTAGGAACCCTGAATTTGTAGTCAGTTGGTCAGAAGTGTGGGTGGCTTGGGAACCCCTCACACCTACGGCTGTGTCTGCGGTCTTGGGCAGCCTGGGCAGGCTGGAGGACTGGGCTGCCTCCCTAGCTCTGGTGGTTAGGGCCAGAGAGGAGCCACATGGCAGTGTGGGAATTGACTCAAGTGATATTTAGGGACACCACCAATCAGACTTGGGGCCAAGAGTCCTGCTTAGACGAAGGGTTTCTTTAGGTGAATGGGAAGCGGGGTGATGGCAGGCAGGCACCACGACTGACACACCCCTGGGCGGTGCGGCTGGGCCCACTGTCACCTCGGGTGTCATCACACCAAATGCCTTTAAACAAGTCACATGTGTGTCCCCTGCCGGGCAGGACTCATGGAGGCCCGAGTGACCAGGATGTGAGAGAAAGAACCTTCTAGCACTCTACTACCTGCTCCACCACCGGCTCCCACCTTCCGGCACAAAGTTCCCGGCGGGGAGACCCCGCAGTCACCCTGCTGCAGCATGCCGAGGAGGGGCTGGCGATGAAGGCTTACCATGGCGAAGCCCACGTCGGCCTTCTTGAGGGCTGGCCCGTCGTTTGTGCCATCCCCAGTCACCGCCACCACCTGTCTCTGCTCCCCAGTCATGCTGTCAATAATCCCTGGAACCCAGAGCGGGGCAAGGCTGGGCTGGCACCACCTGTCGCCACAGCCCTGCGTCACCCAGCTTGGGGGCTGCTGTGCCTACCACCCTCATCCTTCAGTGGCTCCCTGTCACCTGCAGGATCAAGTCTCCGTGACTTAACCAGGCGGCCCCCCATCTTCCTCCGCCCATCCAGCCCATCATCCTGTGGGGCCTGCCGTGCAGGGGTAGGAGGTGACATAGGTGATGTGATTTGGTAGAAGGGAGGGGTGCAGGGGCAGCTCCCCAGATGCCTCCTACACCTTGGCGTCACTCTGTGACTTGGATAAACAACCCCTCTCCCGGGCCTCAGTTTCCCGTCTTCTACATCAAGGGAATGGGCAGCTTGCGTATCTTCACCTCGAGTTCTGCCAGCTCCTCTGGGTCCCGTTAGGATCAACCCGACTCCACTGCCCCCAAGAAGAAGCAGGGAGCTGAGAAGGTGACCGCACTGGCCGTGCGTCCCGTTAACGCAGAGAAGCCGGTTGGAACAGAGATTTCTGAGGCCCTCTGCTGAAAGCAGAGGGGGGCTCCACACGGCAGCCCTCTGAGTGCGTCTCCATCATTATCCCCACTTTGCCCATGGGGAAACCGAGGCTCAGCGTGTCTACCAGTGCTGGTCTAGAGCTGGGGGCTCTAGTTCCCACCTTGGGTAGGGGAATGGGTGAGCGGGTGTGTGGGGTGTAGCGAGCTCTTTACCTTTGACCAGAGTGTGCTTGTCGGTGGGAGAAGAACGGGCGAGGACTCTCAGCTTGGGCCACACCTTGTCCAGCCGCTCCTGTTCTATCTGGGAGAGGGGAGCACATAGAAGCTGCTGAGCTCAGTGGCGGGCCAGGCGGTGAGGAGGGGTGAGGCGGGGTGAGGTGGGGAGGGGTGGGGCCCGGTGGGATGAAGAAACAGTCAGAACCCTGGACCGAGGCAGGCAGAGGTCCAGCAGCTCCCCAGTAACAACATGGCCAGCCAAGAGGCTGCCTGGCCCTACCTAAACTTGGCCTCCATAACCAAGGATGCAGGGACCTGCCCAGACCACGAGGGGGACCAGGGGTGCTCGGAACACGTGCTGTCCTCCTGGCCTTCCCCAGAGAATCCTTAACCATGCCTGTCTCTGAACTAGAGCTTGAGCTGTTCCCCAGTGGAAAGCATGCTGTGGACGGGCCTGGGCCGGGGCCTGCAGGAGTAGGGACTACCTCGCCCTTCTCGTTGCGGATCCGCCGGTTGAACTCCTTCCCCTCCAGGCACAGGAAGTCCTCCCCGGGCTGGATGATGCCGCACTTGGCCGCGATGGCCCGGGCGGTGTTGATGTTGTCCCCGGTCACCATGCGCACGGTGATGCCAGCACGCTGGCACTTGCGGATAGCTTCAGGGACCTAGAGGAGACAGGGAAGTGGGTGTCAGGGCTCCAGCTTTTGCCCCACCCAGCTTTGCAGACCCCACGCGTCCCAGCAATGCTGCCCCAAAAGCCAAACCGGAGTCCCCAGTGAAGGGGCCAGCCCAGAGTGGGGGGAGAGAATGCGCAGTGGAGGGTGCCATCCTCAGCCCCTCAGCTCGCCTTCTCTAGATGTGCAGCCCTGGGGACCAGCGAGGACTCAGACCCGGGCCCTGATTTGGTGCCACAGGTCGGGCTGTGGAATCGTCTAGCTCCAGCAACCTTGTTTTACAGCTGAGTAAGGACTCAGACCCACCTTGGGTTCCAGGCAAGCCTGTGTGCTGGGGGACTCACACTGCAGTGTTAGCTCTAAAGAACGAGGAAGGAGCCTCCCTGTTAATTCAGGGTCCCAGCTCCTCCCTCACTCGTCTGTCTCTCAACAATATGAAACCGTTTTTCTCAGGAACGACTCTTGCTGAGGCCGGATCTTTTACATGCCGAGGGGTTCGCACTGCTTGCTAGGCGGAACGGAACGTTGCTTTGGGCACAAAGCATGCCTTTTCATTTCCAAGTATAATATTAGCTCCTGGAAGAAAGAGGACGCAGCACCCGCGCACTGAGTGGAAAACAGGCTGAAGGGCGTTGAGAGTGGGCGGCCAGACCAGCCAGGAGGAGGGGACTGAGGGGCCAGGCCCGGAGGCTGCAGGGGGACAGGAGTGAGAGGGAGTGGGGCGCATGATGCCCCTGAGGTGGGGTCATTGACTGGTGGGTGGGGATGGGGAGAACAGGAGGGGCAGGAGCGTGGGAGGGTGGGAGATGAGCAAGGTCAGGCCTAGGCCCGTGAAGGCCAGGAGGAGGAGTGGGTGCCGGGGCGGAGGGGAGGCAGAGGCCGGGCGTCCCCCAACCCTGAGAGCACCCGGGGAAGTTGTCAGGGGCAGGGCTAGGTCTGAAGTCTAGGGGGGTGTGCGATCTCAGCCAGGGAGAGAAGAGTGGCGACCCACTCAGGCTGTGACAGTGACTGGATGATCCCGTGCCCCGCAGTAATGTTTCCTGGCTCCCAGCTCAGGGCCGCTGCCTGCTCTTTTGGGATCTTGGGATACGGGGATAGTGAGACCCTGAGCTCCAGAGAAACAACTTCCCTCCCGGCCCCGAAGTGTCTAGAAGGCAGCCCTCTGCTGCCACCAAGTGGCCGTGAAGAGCCGAAGATCTGAGAGCAGCAGCCCCTCTATCGGCTTGCCTGGGGCTGGATGAGGCAGGGCCGTCACTGCAGCAGCGAAAAGGCCCCATGACCCGCAGCCAGGTGGGTGCCAGGTCTGCGCCTGCACCTCTCTGGGGCCAGAGCTCCTGCCTCTTCCTGAGGCAGCCTCCCTCATGGACTTACTGTCCGGAGTCCTTCCTCACTGGCATTGCTCCCCCAGGCCTGACACACAGCAACCCGGCAATCCTCTGGCCACGGTCATTCCCTGCCTCCACGACTCCCAGCAGGTGTCCCAGGGCCTGCTGGCAGCATCAGCACTCAGCTGAGCCTGCCCCGTGCCCTCCTCGGCCAGTCTGGACTTGCCTCTGCAGCCTGCACTCTATGGGGCCACTCTCCAGCCAGAAAGAATCGAGAACATGCAGTCCCTGCCTCTTCCCACCCTGAGCTTCCACCCAAACCCCAACAATGGGCCTTCGTGACATTGTTCTCCCGGTGGCTGCCTGTGTTGAAAATCTCCTAAAATGAAAACTTAAACAACAACATCCCAATTCTGAGAACCCAGGGTAGCGTGGGCCACAGCAGGAGTCTTGACCTTGACCAGGGGAAGGGGCGGGCCTCCCCACACCAATGTGCAGCAGTTCCAGAAGGTTCCTCCCCCCCTCCCCTAGCCTGGCCTCCTTTGAGCTTCTGTAAATGAGTGACTTGGAGCAGAAAGAAGGCCGGCGCCGCTGCTGTTGTGTTTCTGAGAACTGCGGGAGCCTGCTGGGCTCCTTGGCCAGCCCTCTGAGCAGCGTGTGAGGCCAGACGGGCTCCCTCCTCTGTCCCGCCGCTTGAGCGGAGGAGGTGGGAGGGGAAGGCAGGCTGGTGGCTGGCATGCAGAGATGGCCTTGGCCCAGGGCCCCGAGAGTCTGGGAACGTTGCCTTTCTGGGTCTGTGGAACACTCCAAACAGGAGCCCTCAGCTTCCCGCGGCCCCAGCAAGCCCAACTGTCGGCTCCTAAAGGGCAGGTTCCCTCTGCTCTCCCAACAGGCGCCTCTGCTTGGCCGTGTCCCGGGGAGGCGGGGAGCGGGCTCATCCACCATTCAGTCCCCACCCCTCAGCCACCATCCCTGCCTTCCCCCAGCCGGGCTCAGGCGGTTCCCTCTCTCCACGCAGTGGCCCGTCCTCCTTGGAACTCTGGCTCCATTGCTACCGGGATGTGGCTGGTATTTGGACTCGGCTCTCCCCCTCAAGGATCTCCCATCTTCAAAACCCAGCAAGCCCTCCCCATCTTCCCTTCACTCTACCCCCTGCCCACCTTTGGCCCGAGGTCTCCGGTTCTCTTTGCAGAGAACCAACAGGAACAGTGTGGACTCTGCAGGCTGGCTCCCCGCCTCCCATCGCCTGAGCCTGCTCAGGCCAAGGCCCCTGTGAGCTCCTTCTTACACACCTGCCTCTGGTCTGCTCCTGCTCCAGTAGCGTGGCCCTTGCCTGGTCCCCCCCACACCTGCTCCGGCTCTGATGGCGTGGCCCTCACCTGGTCCCCCCTCTGCTCTGGCTTGAATGGCATGGCCCTCACCTGGTCCCCCCCACCCCTGCTCTGGCTCTGATGGTGTGGCCTTCACCTGGTCCCCCTCTGCTCTGGCTGATGGCGTGACCCTCACTTGGTCCCCCCCCACCTGCTCTGGCTCTGATGGCATGGCCCTCACCTGGTCCCCCCCCACCAGCTCTGGCTCTGATGGCATGGCCCTCACCTGGTCCCCCCTCTGCTCTAGCTCCGATGGCGTGGCCCTCACCTGGTCCCCCTCTGCTCTGGCTCTTACGGCGTGGCCCTCACCTGGTCCCCCCCACCTGCTCTGGCTCTGATGGTGTGGCCCTCACCTGGTCCCCCCTCTGCTCTGGCTCTGATGGCTTGGCCCTCTCATGGTCCCCCCTCTGCTCTGGCTCTGATGGCGTGGCTCTCACCTTGTCCCCCCCCACCTGCTCTGGCTCCGATGGCGTGGCCCTCGCCTGGTCCCCCCTCTGCTCTGGGTCTGATGGTGTGGCCCTCGCCTGGTCCCCCTCCTTGCTTGGTGCCTTCCTTGGAGTCTCCTTCAAAGGCTTCTCACACCTCTGCTCCAGCCACATGCCTGCCCCAGTGACATCACCCATAGAAAGATGCTTCCAGAACTTCTCTTCAGCCAGGACCTTTGCTCTGAGCTCTCTATTCTGACAGCCCCAAGCAAACCCTTGACCAAGAACCTCCCACCAGTCCTCCAAAGCTGCATCCCCTCAGTCTTCCTGGGTGAGCGATGACACCGCCCTCCACTCCGTTCTCTAGAGCAGAACCAGGAGTCATCCCTGGCACCTCCCATCAGTCCTGTGAGGGACAGCTCCACCAGCTCCCGGCTGCATCCTTAGCTGCTGCCTTCGAGGTTCCAGCTGCCTCCCCCTCGCCTGAGAGCAGACCCCATGTGGATGCAGTGCCACGCCCCCTGAATCCCCTCCCATGGCCCTGCCATCCAGTGCAGGCAGGTTGGCCAAGGTCTGATCTACTACAACCCTGGCAGGAAGCAGCCTGACAGGCTGGGAAGGCTAGGAGGAAGTGCCGACCTCTCCTGGCATGCTCTGCACCAGTGCGCCCAGCTTCCAAGGGCAGCTCGTGGAGGAGGGCGTGCCTACCTCGGGCCGCACAGGGTCCTCGATGCCCACCACGGTGATGCAGGTGAGGTCGGCCACGACCTCGTTCTCGTTGTCCCAGTCAGGCTCCTGGCCCGTGGAGAAGTCGCGGTAGGCAATGCAGATGGTTCGGAGGCCATCACAGGCCATCGGCTCGATGATCTTCTTCACCATCTCGTCCCGGTCCCGCGGACGGAAGCTGCGGAGTTCACCGTCACTGTTTAAGATGTTGGAGCACCTAGGGCAGGGAACAGGAGACAAAGAGGGAGCTGGGGGCAGAGATGTCAGCTCAGGCAGACCCCAAGGCCACAGGGGGTCTCTCCCAAGGACGGAGGGTCCCTGGTGTGGGCTGAGAGATCTGGGTGGGAGGCAGGCTATATCACGGACCCAATGGCTGTTGGGGTAAATCACCCTCGCCTCTCTGGGTTTTGGGCAAAGTAGTCATGGAGCATCGGCAAAAACCTACTGCCACTGGCAATGAGCTCTAAGTGGGTAGTGTGGATGCAACAGACAAGGGAGCCACAGCAGGAGGGAGGACAGGAACCTCAGTATGAGCTCTAAGAACCCTGGAAGCTTCCAGAAGCTTTTCCCAGAAGGGACCAGGAGGGCTGGCAGGATTCGGATGGGGGAGAGGTGGCCTTTTGTGCCAGGTTGGGGAGACTGTGCCAAGGCAGAACTGGGGGGACAGCATTCTGGGGGGCAGCGATAAGCAGAAGTGCAGGCCAGACCAGGTGGGGGTGCACTGTGGTTTTCCTGTCGGGCAAGAGCAGAGGGCAGGGTGAGCCGAGATGCCCTCAGAAGTCCAGCAATGGCGTGGCATGAGAAGCTTCTCCCTTGCCTTACAAGGTGGCTCTGGGGTGTGTAAGCAGCCAGGTGAGGGCGGGTGGGGGCTGAGCAGGCCCGAGAGGAGGTGGGCAGAGCTGGGGGGCTCAGAGGTGGGTACCCACTTTCCAACTCATTTTTAATAGCTGTGTTGAGATATAATTCTCAGACCATACAATTCATCCCTTTGAAATGTACAACTCAATGGTTTTCAGTGTATTCGCAGATTTGCACAACTATTGCCACTACAGAATTCCAGAACATTTCCATCGGCCCCTACAAGAAACCCCACCCCTGGCCCTAAGCCCCCCTAATCTCCTACCCGGCTTCCCACTCACTTTTTGAGCAGGATCTCTGAGGCCCCCTTGCTGAAGAGGCGGAAGCCACCGTCGGCCACACGGATGACCGTGCTCATGGACTTGCGGACTGAGTTGAAGGTGTACACTTTGTAAAGCTTATCTTCCGGAATCTGCTCTCGTACGGGCTGAAAGTCCCGCTTGAGGTCCAGGACGAAGCCCAGCAGAGCACACTCCGTTTTATTGCCCACTTGGCGTGGAAGGGCACCTTCCTTCTCTGGAGGCTGCAAGGCCAAGAGAGCACCCGTGGCATCGGGGGCCCACGTCCATCCTCCCCGCCGCCCCTGGGGCCCTGGTGCCAGCCCAGCCACCACCACCAGGTCGCTTAGGGTGTAGGTGGCAGAGAGCAGACGTGGGTCTCCTCTGGCGGGCAGCTTTCCCTGTCAGGCCAAGGCCGGGGAGGGGGGCAACTAGCGCCCCCCGGCCCATCCGAGCTCCGTGAAAGGCACTTAGGGCGGCCCAGGGAGCCCCCGCCCGCGCGCCGGCGGCTCACTAGTATTTTGGTGGTGTAGGCACTGTTGATGGAGATGGCGTGGACCAGGAGGTCGAGGATCTTGGGGTTGAGGGCGCTGGGGGCCGGGACCTCCTTGTAGTGGGTGTCCCCCAGGTAGGACTGGACCACGGTCATGCGGTTGGTGGTGAGCGTGCCCGTCTTGTCGGAGCAGATGGCCGTGGCGTTGCCCATGGTCTCACAGGCGTCCAGGTGGCGCACCAGGTTGTTGTCCTTCATCATTTTCTGTGAGAGGCACAGACGGGAGTGTGGGCAGCCACGGTCCCTGGGGTCCTCAGCTCGGCAGGGACAGGCACGACCAACAGCGTCCACGCCAACCTTCTCAAGTCCTCTGCTCTGCTCGCCTGGCTCCACACTGGGCACTGCCAGCCCGAAGCAGAGAGGGCAGCCACACACCCACCCGCCAGGCTGACCCAGCAATGCTGCAAGGGAGCTGGCAGGAGGTGGCCAAAAGCCAGGGTGTGTGCCTGCAAGATGGGGAGAATCCAAACCACCAGGGTAGCCCCTCCCCTAGCCCTTTGCCTATGCGCCCCCCACCCCACCCCGAGGGCCGTCTCCCCTCTTGGGCTCCCTGCTGGCCCTGAGGCTCCTCCACACTCCGCCCACTGTTCCCCTGCGTCCTCCCCACCTCAACCTCTGCAAGCAGTACAAGCAGCTGACACCTCGTGGCCCCTCCATCCTCCTGCCACACCTGAGCTCACAGGAGCCCTCCATCCGGACGGAGCAGCAAAGCCACCCTCTCGGTTTCTGCCCCACCCCTCCCTGGTTCTGCACCCCGTCATACAAATCACGGGACTAGCTGCTCACCCTGCGGTTTGCCTGCCATCTGTGCAATGGGAGCAAGGGATTCTTCTGTTGGTTTTATTTTAAAGTTTGAGACAATCTATTTTGGATGTGATCAAAGTGAGACTAACCAGTTTTAAAGGGTGCATCCTTCTTTTTAAAAATTATATAATCACGCCTTAATAGAATACGCAATCATTAGCTTTCTAACGTCAGTCCTGAAATTAGCTCACTTAAATGCCATTCAAATTCAAAATAGTTTTCTCTGCAAAGGTCTTGACTTTGCTTTCATTCTTTCAAAATGTTTGTGCTGGGTGTAGAATCTGGGGTTGATTTTTGTTGGTCTGTGTTCTCTGGCCTCCATGGCTTCTGACGAGAACACAGCTGTCATTCACGTCGTTATTCCCTTGGCTGTGCTGTGCTTCTCCCTGCGGCTTTAAAGATTCTCCTTTTCCTCTGTTAGCCCTTTAATTATGATCTACCAAGGTGTGCCTTTCTTTATACTAACCTGCTTGATGTTCACGGAACGTCTTCAATGTATACATTTGTCTTTATTTGGGAAAATTTTGGCTATCAGTTCTTTTTTATTGTGGTTATATCTATACACACACACACACAACAGAACGTTTGCCGCTTCAACATTCACCACTAGCCGGTTCCAGATTGCTCCATCACCTCAAGGGATTCTTACCTTAACAGAGTAAGCTAAGGAGATGGTGACAGCAAGAGGCAGGCCCTCCGGGACGGCCACGACCAGCACGGTGACCCCAATGATGAAGAACTTCACGAAGTACTGCACGTAGACAGGTGTGCACTCGGCCAGCCACACTCGGCCGTCGATGACGAAGGTCTCGATGACAAAGTAGAGGACCAGGATGATCACAGTGATGGCGGACATCACCAGCCCTGAGAGGAAGGGAGAGAGGAGGCGGGAAGGAGAGGGGGCCGATGCTGGAACCAGCGCTGCTGAGGCCCAGGCAGGAGCTTTCTAGAACTGAACTGGGGTCGGAGGGCACCCTTAGGGGCCTTTTGAAAAGGGCTCGTGATGGGATTCAAGTCTCAGGACAGGTGGCTTGGGGTGTGACACAGTGGAGTGTGTGTGGGGCCTGCTCGGACGGGACTTTGGTTGCCCTTTGGTGGAGTCTAGCGCAGGCAGCCGGAGCAGGAAGCAGTAAGCTGCGGCCAGGCCTGAGAAGAGGTTCCGACCGGCAGGCCTCCATGCTGCTGGAGGCTCAGGCGGGGACCCTGACAGGTGACAGGTCTGTATGTGACCTTAGGCGAGGTGCTCCCTGGCCCACACAGGCTGCCCTCCACCGCCCTTCCCTGACCGCACCTGCACCGGGCCCCTGAGGCCATCCTGCCCACCCACCTCCATCAGCCGCCAGGCTGCCCTTACCCGCTTTCCCAATCTGCACGGCCAGCTTTGTGAGCTTTCCCTGCAGGACCGACTTCTCCTTCTTGGGTACGTTGGCTTTCTTCTTCTCCCGCTCCTCCATCTCCCCACCCTCTGCGCTCTTTAGGGGCTGCATCTCCATGGCAACGGCCCCGTCCTGCTTCTTGGCTGCGCACAGAGGAAGCCCACGGCCCAGATTAGGACCGCGGCAGCCGGCAAACGGGCTGCAAAGGGCTTTCACAGGGAGAGACAGACCGCACCGCAACGGGGTTCACGGGAAGATCCTTCACCTCCCTTCTCTGTCCTGGACAGCTCAGAACCCAGAGGGCTCCAGCACTGTCCCAGGTGCCACAAACACAGCACAAGTCACTTGGGCACAGAGCCGCTTCTGAGAGCAGGGGGCCTGTGGCCCAGGGAACATTCCTTACCTCCCATGCGCCCCAGAACCCTGAACCGACACATCCCCCATTGCGCCCCTCAGGGAGGCAGGAGCCTGGGTGCATTCTCTTCCCACTCGGGCGCCCCACCCATCAGGCTCCAGCTCACCAGGTGGATGGTCTCCTGAACGCCCTTCCTACTATCAGCAGCTGCTGCCAGGGAAATGGGCTGCCTTTGGTCCAGCCTCACAGCAGACTCTACCTTTCTCTCCTCCTCCTTCTGTCCGTCCAGCTGTCCAGCGCCTCCCCTCTGCCTCGTCACCTCCACGTCTCTGTCCCAGCTCAGGCCTGTCAAGCTCCAGCCTCACACACTCCCCAGCCTCCTGTGGTCTCTGCATGGACCCCAGGCCCCTCAACTCCACATGTCCTGATAGAAGTATTCACTTCCACCCCACCTGCTTCCTCTTTCCCTCCTCAGGGAGGGGTACCCAAGCCAGGAGTCCCCCGGGCGTCCCTGGGACTTATCCTTCTCCTCAGCACTCACGTACCCCACCCAATTGGTTCTCGGTGGTCCTGGTCTCACCTCTGCGTCTGCCCTCCCCGCCACACTGGTCTTGGCAAGGCCTGGGCATCTGGCCAGCCTCCCTATGCCACTGGCTCCTTCCCACCGTCCTCAGCTAGCAGTCAAGGTCATGGCCAGCTGGGCCACAGCTGTCTAGCCTCTGCTCCAGCCCTCTCCCAACCCAGGGCTCCAGCCACAGGGCTGCCCCTGCCCGAAATGGCCTCCCAACCTGCTACACTCTACAGATTAGCTTACTTCCTTGACCCCTTGGGCCTGCCATGGTCCCTGAGTCCCTGCATCTGGCCCTCTCTGGCCCTGACCTTCCCAGGGCTCAAAAGTGGCCACTGACAGCCCTTCCTGTCAGTTTCTGGAAAGCCAGAGATGACTTCACGGAACATCAACCTCCCTCCCGGGCCTGGCCCTGCAAGCCAGCAACCCAGTGTCCTGGCCAGAGTATCCGAAGACCCTCAGGCATTCGGGGCCGGAGAGGAGGGTGGGGCTTCTGGCCGTCGGACGGCCACTCCAGCTAAAAGCTGACCTGGGAACCAACAGACTGAGGCCCTGGCTACTTATAAGCTGTGTGACGTTGGGCAAGTCGCCCCTTCTGAGCCTCAGTTTTCCCATCTGGTCCAACCAGGCCAGAATGCCTACTCACGGGCCATCTTTGGGCCCTTGCTGGGACCAGGCACGCCGAGCTGATGGCACGGGTGGCCAGCCTGAGCTTCCAGCAGCGTCTTCGGATGGGTGTGCCTCTCCTCCGCTGGCTTAGGGATGCACAGCGCGCCACAATGGGAGCTGCCCTGGCATTTTTCCCTTTCCCCAACCTGTGACTCCGCCCCCACTTCCCCAGCCCCGGCTGGGCCTCTGTGACCCTTAGCAGCAGCCGCGCGTGCGCATTACCTTTGGTCTGGCTACTCTCCATCGCCCCATCCTGCTGCTTGCCTACAACGGAAGGAATGACAGACACAGAGACTTGAGAACATCGACACGGCCCTGGCACACTCGCGCACGCGCAAGCACACGCGCACGCGTGCGCACACACACGGACAGAGGACAGAGGGTGGAGCCAGTGACCACACAGAAAAAGGGTGGGGGGAAGGAGGAGGAGAAGGGTCTGAACATCACCCCAGGGTCCAGATGGCCTGATGGGGGGAGGGACACGGAGTTGGGGACCCCGACCACAGGTGGCCTTGACTACTGCTTATGGCGAGGCCCTCCCAATGCCCTGTACTGCCTCCAAGGGCAGGGTGTCCACTCCCACTCTGGGGGCCCCGGCAGCCCTCCAGTGAACCCCTCCAACTGGCTCTGAGAGGACCCTGGGTTTGGTGGGGCATGTGTGGCCATCAGCAGGAGGTTTCCAGAAGGCCCGCCACCACAGGGAGTCAGAGCTATCAGCTATCTGTGCCAGCTCGGCCACCTTGACCAGGGCCCCACCCAATTGGGATATCTGCATCCCCAAGAGCCCCTGAAAGGGGTTTACCCAGATGGCATCTGACCCCTGGCAGCCGTCCTTGCCCAGAGACCAGCCACCACTGCCAGGTGGGCTTGATGAGCAAGCATTTGGGTGCTGGTGGAGGGTCTCCGGCAGGGTCAGCTGGCCTTCTCCAGAGAGAGGCGTGGGGACTCCAGGCCAGCCCAGGGAGGCCCAGGGCCCACCCCTCTAGCTGCCCCATGGACCCCCAGGGCACTCGCTGTGGGGAGACTCTGGGCTGAGTTGTTCAGGGCAAGGAGGTTTGGTGCAGCAGAGACGAGGTAGGCATGGGCCCCTGGCAACAGGGCTGGCTGTGGGGAGTGGGCCTGGCCTGCCGGGAGCAGGGGAGGTGCCCACACCCAGGCTACCCCAGGACAGTATCCAGGGAAGCTTCTAGGCCACAGCAGCTCATGCAGCTTCTCCCTCACTGCCTCCAGCAGCAGGGAGCTCCCTCCCGGGTGAGGCGGCCCAGGGCTGGGGACACTGTGTCCTTCCTTACACTGACCTAAGCATGGCTCCCCTGTCCCTGGCTTGCTGGGGGGAGGGGAGGGCAGGCCAATTACGCCTGTACTCTTGCCCTGAGCAGTCAGGACTGCCTAAGGCCACAACAGCTCATGCCGAATCGCGCTGCCCCCAGGGCCCCGGGCCGCAGGCCTCCAGAAGGAAGCAGAATGCACCCCCCGCCGCAAATGTGCAGTTGCTTTGTCCTTCTAGGTGGCCTAGGTGGCTTCTCTCAGAGGGGAGGCATGCACCCAGAGACCGCCAGCCCCCACTTGTTGTTTGGCTTTATGGTAAAGCGCATATCCCTACTCAAGCTCTGAGCAGGGAGGCCTGAGCCCCAGAAAGGGCACGGGCTCCGAGCGCAGGGCTGGCCCTGGGCGGGCAGGGCGGCCGAGCACAGCCCGAAGGTTGTTTGCTCTTGTTTCTCACCCCATGACTTTCCCATGGGGTTGTACTTCCGTCCTGTGTGCCCACACATAACAATGTCACACTCCTTCAAAGACGCCCAGGAGGCCAAACCCAGGGAAAGGTGTCAGCAGACGCCCACCGCTGCCAGGAGAGCAGTGTTGCGTGAAGGTGGAGAGGACAAGTCACCCTACTTCCTCTGGGCCCCTAGCCCCTCCGTCCTTCCCACCCCCTGCCCCATCCGGGCTGCCCTTCCTGGAGAGATCTCGCAGGGAAGACGCGGCAGTGGCCAGTCACTGCAGGCCAACTGGCTCTCTGTGCGCCAGCCAGGGTCCCTTCTCTCATACTGTAACCTCGCTTGTGAAGAGTGTTTACGCTGCCCGTGTTGGGGACCCTTGCCTACACACCCACTCCCAGAAGTGTGGGCGGGAAAAGCAGGCTACTCCATCCACACGCTGACATGAGCTCCCACGACGGAGGCGCTCGTTCCAGAAAGGCCCCAGGAAAGCATGCCGTGCTCCCTTCTCATCCCTCTCCATTCAAGCCCCTGTTTTGAGGACTGGAGGGGACACGGGTCACGCCTGGGGCTCAGACCAGAGGCGGCAGGAGGCAGGGTGGCCGTGTGCTGGGGAGGCAGGGACCACTGCAGAACTGGCTGTCAGAAGACATCTGTCCCCAAAACCCTAGCGGCATGCCCTGCCCTGCTGCTGTCCTTTGGGGAGCCCTGTCACTTTGACTATGCCTGTCAGGCCTTGCTCAGGAGCTCCGCATCGCTGCATAAGCTTTGGCTTCGTCACCCCATTTCCTTAGCTGCTGTGGGCCTGGGACCCTCAGCACTTTACCCGGAGCTGGCGTCCTCAGGCCATAGGAACCGAACACCCCTGAGGGTGGGTAGGAGGCCCCCAGCAGCATCCTCCCCAGCTGGGGTGGCTGGCCCTGGTCACTTTGATCCCACCCCAGTCTGGCCGGCACCCTCCTCAGCTGGGCAGCTCCAGAAGAGGTCAGGAAGAACTGGGGGGCTCTCCTGCTCTGGGGCAAAGACCCCGGGAGAGGGGGAACCCGAGAGGAATCAGAAAAGAGGGAGTGGCCTCCCAAACCCTGAGAGGGCTGCCAGCAGGCGGGTGAAGGAGAAAGGGCAGGCACGTGGAAGGAGGGTCAGCCTGCCACGGGCACAGGGAACAGGAGTGAATTTCGGCTTACCTTTCTTATCCTTCTTCTCCTCCTCCTCCCCGCCGGCTCCAAGCAAGGTAAAGATGATGCCTGTCTGTGAGTTCACCCCTACGGCTGTCACCACCATCCTTCCGGAACCTTCCATGACATGAGTGCCTGGCACAGCAACAGAGAGTGACTGAGACAGTGATTGGCATCCAATGGCGGGAGGCATGCTGGCTGGCAGGAGGGCTGCTGGGCCTCCCTGCTTTTCCCCCGGGCATCTCAGAAGCAGGGACTCAGTGTCTGGAGTCCCCCAGAGACTGGGTCAAACCTAAGCCTAGGCTGGAGCCTCACCCTCAGCCAGGAGGGGGCCCAGGGGCCCCCAGGGAGCAGGCTCTTGCCCAAAGGCACCAGGCGAGCTATTCCCGGAGCCTGCCTGCTTCCCGCTGCATTTCCCAGCATCCCGCTTCCAATGCCCCTGCTCTGGCCTGGGGAGGGCTGCCTCAGGAGGCAGGCCACGCCCTGGGTCACGGCCCATGCTCTGCCCCTCACGCACCTGAGAGCAGCATGGGGTCTTTGTCGACTGACTTGCGCACGTGGTCTGACTCTCCGGTCAGTGAGCTCTCGTCGATCTTGAGGTCATTGCCCTGGATAAGCACGCCGTCGGCAGGCAGCAGGTCCCCTAGAGGCCAGGCAGGGGTGATGGCCCCCGAAGCCACTGCCTCCGGAACCCTGTCTCTGCCACCTCCCCAGGACAGGGGCCGGCCCAGAGATGGATCGAGGGACGGGACCTGGTGTCCTCTTCCTTCCGTCCCCTCCTTCCTGGGGGACCCACCTCCACCTAACTGCTCTGTCTAGCTCCCAGGGGGTGGGGACAGCAGCAGCGTCCTGCAGTAGCTGGGGACGTCCTCCGCTGAGGTGGGGGACACCTGGCCTCCCGGGGCTGCAGGCACCTGAAACTCCTTCTTGGCTCAGCCCCAGACCACGCTCCCTCGTCCCAGCCCCTCATCCTGTGCTCCAGCGTCCTCGATGGGCAGGTGAGGACCGGCGCACTCACCGTACTTGACTTGGGCGATGTCTCCTACCACCAGCGCGGCCACGGGAACCTGCAGGAGCTGCCCGTTCCGGATGACCGTGAACTTCTGCTCCTGCTCAATGCGGCTCTGCAGGCCTCGAAACTGCTTCTCCTTGCTCCAGTCGTTGAAGGCCGTGACCAGCACCACGCAGATGACCGAGAGCAGGATGGCAGCGCCCTCGATCCAGCCGGCCTCCGCCTCGCCCTCATCTTCGGCCCCAGCCGCCACGTTCCCGCAGGCTGCGCCCGGGGCAGAGGGGCAGCAAGGCGCGGAGAGGACCCCCTCAAGGCCTGCCCTCCCTCCACAGTCCCTTCCTGCCCGGGTCCCCCTCGCCGCCCCTCTGGCCCTGCCCCTCACCGTCGCTCTCCTCCCCCGGCGGTGCGTAGAACGAGAGGCCCAGGGAGACAATGGCAGCCACCTCCAGGATGATGAGGGTCACATCCTGCAGGGCCTCCCACACCAGCTGCAGGAAGCTCTTGGGCTGCTTGGGAGGGATGAAGTTCTGCCCGTAGATCTGCCTGCGCTTCTCAAGGTCAGTGGCATTGTCCGCCAGGCCTGTGCGGGCCAGGGAGGGGAGGATGGGTGAGGGCTCCAGCCACCCTGCCGACTCCTGCTGCCCCCCTCATCCTCTCCTGGGGTGCACTGGGCCCCCAGAGTCCCCACCCCGTCACTGTCTGTCTGTACCACTGGACTTCAAGCTCTGAGAAAGTGGCACCAGGTAGGCCTGGCATGGGTGGCAGACATCTTGGCTGCCTGGGACAGAGCAGGTACCATCACAAGGCATGTCCTGTGGCCTTGGCTCTGGGAGGAGGGGACAGCACTATCCTCCTGATGTGCAGATGGGAAAACGGCATTCATGGGGATCTGGTGACTAGGGTGGGTCCCGGCTGTGGGACAGGAACCCAGCCTGCACCTCCTGCATCTACCTGTGGAACCTCTGAGTCACCCAGGGCCACCTCCAAAGGGATGCTTGAGGGACAGAGACAATGTCCAACCTGGGGGAGGCATGGCCAAGTGAGGTTTGGAATACAAGAGCACAGCCCACCACTCTCTGAGGGGCAGGCCAGCGACAGGAGACTGGCAGGGGGCAGAGCGTAGGGCCAGGAGGCTTCAGACCAGAGTGAGGTGCTACCAGGCCAGGGGTGTGTGTGTGTGTGGAGGGGTGACGTCAGCCTACGGGACCCACTCAGAACGAGCCTCTCTGCCTGCCAAGCCACACGTTCCACAAGGGTCTCTCTAGCCGCGAACATTTGGATTCTCTGGCTTCTTCTGAGGGCCACTGAGGCAGCGAAGGCCCGGAAGCTTCCAAAGCTTGCCCAAGGCTGCACAGCTGCGAATGGCATCCAGGCCTTCGGCCTCCCAAGTCTGAGTGGTCTCATCCTCATCCCCAACCCACAGAGGCCTGGATGACCACTGTCTCCTGGCCCCGCCCTCAGTCTCCCCCTCCCCAGGCTTCTTTCTAGGCCTGTCCCAGGCTGCCTGGGCTGCCACCGCCAGGCCTCCTCATCTGTCTGGTTTCGGTCCCGAGTGAGCAGCCCCACACTGACCCCTAGTGGACAGACGGCGGCTGGCTGCTTCCACCAGAATACTGGGCCCACTCCCGACACCTCCCATGGGGGCAGGGGGACCAGAAGAAGGGACAGGACAGGTCCCTGCCCACAGGGCAGCCCCACTCTGCTGGGGAAGGCACACAAGACTCTCCACACAAAGACGCGCCAACAGGGGTGCCAAAAGGGTCTGGCTTGGGGAAAGGAGGTGGCGGTGTGTGCCGGGGCAGGCCAGGGGGCTTCTGGGGAGGGCCGAGAGGCCTGCAGGTCTCGTAGGATGACGAGACCAAAAACCCAAGGCCGGCCCAGCCAATGTCCTCCCCACCCAGAAGGGCGGCAGCTGTCCCTGCCCTTCTCCCACCGGCAGCCGTGAGGAAAGCCGGGTGCCAGCCGGCTCGGGTTTCCGCAGGGGCCGTAAGCCTCTTTCTGAAGGGGCAGGAGGGCACAGATCAGGGCCTGGCTGGGCGGGGACCCGGTGAGGGCCATGCCCCTCTGCACTGGGGCCTTGCTGTATGGGAGCACGGGACTACAGGAGATAGGACCTGTGGGGGCTGCCCCTCCCTGGGACCCAGGCCCACCCCCAGCTTCCGAAGCCCACAGGTCCCTGGGGGCGGTACTTAAGCCTGCATTCTGCCTGCCCCACCGCATGCGTTGGGCTGTCCTCAGGAGAAGTCTCTGGTCCCTTGCCCAGGCGCTACCTCCCTGCCCCTCACGGCCCTTCCCTGCCTCCATCAGCCTTTCCCTTGGCCTTGATTTGCCCTTGATGCTGCAGCAACGCTTCACCCTCCCTGGCCCTAGACGGGGCTATGGCCCTCAGCCGGGGCCGTGGCCTTGGCCTTCCTGCCAGGCCGGGGGTCCTGACAGCCCCCGAAGCAGCATTCACTGGTGGGAACAGAAGGCAGCCACAGACCCTCTGGTTTCGAGCTCTCCTCAGCCCAGCAGGTCCCTGAGGGCAGCCCAGTTCCAGGGTGCGAGGGCAGGGGCCGGCTGGTTGGCATGGACACAGATGGGCGGCCTGCCCAGAGCAGAGGCCAGATGCCATCAGAATTGGATTAGGGCCACATCATGTCAGCTCTCAGCTAATGTGCCCCACCCTTCACTGACTGCCCGGCAAGGTCCCCAAGTGGATCTGCCTCTGAACTGGCCTTAAAGCCCAGCTCCCTGACCCGGGGCGGGGGGGGGGGCCTCTCTGCAGGGTGGCTTCCGGAATCCTTCTGGACCTGTCCAAAGGCTGACAGGGCAGTCAGTTGACCTGCTTCATGCCAGGCAATGACAAGTCCCCTCTCCCAATACCCCAGGCACCCGTGCCGGCCTCCCCACCTGCCACATGGGGCTGTGCCCTCTCTGCCTCCTAGGCACCCTGAATTTGCTGATGTTACCAGGGAGTGGTGTGGGCCTGGGGCACAGCTAACCTGGCCCCCCCCCACCTGCTCAGGCCACTGTGTCCCAGAGGGTGAGAACCCTGGGGGCCGAGTCAGCAGGCACGTGGACCCCATGCCTGCCTGAGGGGAATGGGGAGGGAGAGTCACCCACTGCGAGCACCACCTGAGTGGTGTGGGCCCGAGGGGTTGAGGAGGGATTACAGATGCAGGCTCCATGGCTCCCTCCACTGGGGCAGGGGAGACCCGGGAGACCCAGGTGACCTGCCTGCCAGGGCCGGGCCACCCACCTGGGCCCCAGCCCTTCTCCATGGCCGCCTCCTCCCTAGGCAGTGGGCTCACGCCCGGCCAGGATGGTGGAATCGGGCAGGTTCCCAGGGGCCTTGACATTTTCAATATTTAACAAGGCCTGACAGGAAAGAGCTGCCAGTGTAAGCCCATCTGCTTCCTTTTATCTGGGAGAGGTCAGAGCCCTTGTTGCTAAATGGCCCTCCACACCATCCTCCTCCGAGGCCCCAAATCCTGATGGGGGAGGAAGGAGGCGGGAGGAAAGAGATCCTCCGGCATGGTGCCAAGCCATCTGCCCGACCCCCCACTGCCCAAGCTGGCGCACGTGGTGAGGCGGGGCCCAGGGCCACAGTGGGTTCACTCCAGTGCGAAATAGGGGAGACCAGGGTGCCCCAGCCAAGCCACTCTAGCACGGTGCTCCGGACCCAGCCCGTCACCGCCACCTGGGCCCCTCACCTCTCATCTGGCCATGGCCCACCTCCTCCCCAATCGACCCTCGCCACTCTCCCCCCTCCACAGACAGAGGGGGCTTTCTGGAATCCAGCTGGGGCTGCGGAGAGTAACAAGATCCCGTTTGTGTTTTCAGGATCAGAGTGCGGGGCCGGGGAGGAGGCGGGAAGGCTGGGGAGAGGCTACGCTGTAGCCCAGGCTGGGACCAGCAGCAGCAGGAGATGGACAGGAGGGAGTCCATCCAAGAGATTTATTTATAAACCAGAATGGACAGGCCTCGGTGATGGATGGGACGAGGGCGCCAGGGAGCGGAGGACGCAGGGGTGACGGCCAAGGCTTACAGCGCGGGGTGGACCGAGGTGCGGCACTGAGGCGGGAGCTGAGGACATCAATCAGCGCCGCCCGGGGCTCCGCCTGGCCCTGGGCTGGGTTTGCCCCAGCAGCCACCAGAGCTGCCAGAAGACGCTAGCTCCTGGACCCTGCAGCTGGGCCTGGCTCCTGCGTGGTTCCAGCCTCAAAAAGCCAATCCCTCCTCGGGGCTGGGGAACGCGGGGCAGGGCCAGGCTCCGCAAAAGGATGGTGGAGAGAAGAGAGGCCACCGAGAGCCCTCCTGCAGGATCCAGGTTCCTCAGGGGACAACTTCCTCATCGATGAGCAGGGACTCTAGCTCAAGGGGAAACGGGCAGAGGCTGGGAGGAGCGCACCAGGCCTCATGGCTGAGGAGGCGACAGGCAGGGTCCCCACGGGCCTGCCCTCCAAACAGCCCTCTAGATCACGGCGGGTAGCACTGCCAAGCCCTTTGACCGTGGCCTGTCCCTTGGGCTAAAGCACGTCTCCAGGCCCCCTCCACCCCTGAGCTGGGGCTCTCCCAACACTTACCCTCCGTGGGGGAGGTCTTCAGCCTCCTGCAGAGCCCGCCAACGTCCCCATACGCTTCCTGGACTTTTTGCAGGGCCTCGGCCCCTCGCAGTTCCATGAGGGAGCGCAGCTCGGCCAGCGTGCACCCAAAGCCACCTGCATGGGGGGCCTCCCGCTGCTGCTGGGGCTTGGGGTAGAACTCGATCGAGCTGTTGGCCATGTCGCCCATCCTGCCTGTCCAGGCCGGGAGGAGAGGAGGTCGGGCCTTCTTGCAGGCACAGCCTCAGCTTGGCTGCGGCTAGGGACAAGCAGCCCCCAAAGTCCCAGCACGCTTCCAAGGCCGGCGGGGAAGTGGCCTGAGCTTGGATACCTGGGGAGAAGAAGCCAAGTCCTCACTCACTGAGCCCGCAGGGCTGGGAGGGCCTGCCCGGGAGGGGAAAAAGGTGTGGGCAGGCTGCCCCAGTGTCCCTACTTTCCGGTGGGGCCCTGCTGCCACCGAAGCCAGCATGCTGTGCTAGGACTGATGATGGTGCTCCATGATCCGTCCCCTCCCACGGCCCACCGCGAGCGCTTCGCTGCCGTGCTCTTGCCTGATTACGCTGCAGGCATGCTGCAGACACTGGCGGTCTTCCGGCACGGCCTCAGTGGCTAACAGCTTCAGGCCTGGGGTTGTGCAGGGGTCTGGGGAGTGGGACACGCCATGGACGTGGGCCAGCTGGGCTCCGGGTCACGGCTTAGCAGGCAGGGTGTCTCTGCCGTCCTGAGGGGACCTGGGGTGGGCCGGGGGGGCAAGGAGAGAAGGAAGAGACGAGGGCGGGAAGAAGGGAGAGAGGATGGGAGGGCGGGGCGAAGGGGAGGTGACCAGGAGAGGGCACAGGTCACTGGGGACTTCGCCAGCAACCTGGCCCACGGCACAGTGCTCTGATGACAGTCAGGAGCTAGGGTTGCGTCTTCCCCCTCCCAGGCCACACCAGCTTCTCTCACTGCCCCCACTCACTGTTCCCCCACCACGCTCAAAGCAGCGCTCACACCCAGGCTGCCGCCTCCTTTGGCCTTCACCGTGTTTGGCGTCGCTGCCCACCGGGGCCTGCAGGGCCCACCACTCTCTCAGCAAAGACCCCTCTCAGCAACCTGCCTCTGAGGGATCCTCCTGGAAACAGAACTTAGCCGCTGACTGAGGCTTCTGATCTAGAACTCCGTGAAAACATAACCGAGAGCTCAGAAGTAAGGCAAGAAGACCCCCTGGCAGCTAAAATGGACGTGGACTTGGGTGCTGGTAGAACCCCTTCTCTGGTCTGCCCCACTACGAGCAGAGAGTCTGTGGGAAAGCACAGGAACGATGTCAAAGACAGAGCTTTGGGGCCATTCCCAACACACGCTCACAGCCCTGAGGGGGGCTCTGAGCTTGGCAGAGGCCTGAGGACTTCATAACACCAATCCCACGTTGTCTGTCATTCCTGCCTCTGTCTGGCTGGAGAGACAGACAACCAGCAAGCAGAGAAAGCAGACCATTCCCGGTGAAGATGAGAAGACAAGAGGCTGAAAGGCGAAAGAATGATGGGGGTGCTAGCTCAGATTGAGGGGTCAGGGAAGGCCTCATGGAAGAGGTACATTGGAGAAATGACGGGAACAAGGTGAAGGACTGAACCATTCTTCCTAAGAAGTGTTTTTCGTTAACCAACGTCTTAAGACAATACGCGTCCTGACTGTTGAATGAGAAACTATTTGTTCCGTAACAATAAAGAAAAGAAAAGAGTGTTTTGGTACTTGATGTGTTCAAAGACCGGAAGGAGGCAGGGGGGTGAGAAGAGGGGAGAGGAGGTCAGGGGGTGGGGGCCTGTAGACCCCACAGGGCCAAGTGCCATGGGCCAGCACAGAGCTTCCGGGCAGAGGCAGGTGCCACCTCCCCGGGCCGCTGGGTAGAGAATGGCGTGTCGAGGGGCATGGGTGGAAGCCGGGAGATGCACGAGGCGCAGCCGCAGTCGTTCTGCCTGAGCTGGTGAGGGCAGGGGATGTGGAGATGATGCTGGAATCCGGAGGTATGGCGGATGTGAAGGGGCACAGGGTGTGAGGCAGGGCAGGGCTCCTTCTGGGACTGCCACGTGAACCCTACCTTCCAAAAAGGGGAACCGAGGCTCAGACAGGTGAGGTGGCAAAGCTTGAAAAGACAGTAGCCTCTCAGACAGCATCGTCCCCCCAACCCTGTGCTGTCATCCCACCCAGGTGCCTTCTCCCCTTGGGACCTCTGCTTGTGCCAGTGTGCTGTCTCCCCTCCTCTCTGACCCCCAGCTCCATGACACCCTGTGCCTCTCCCTCCCAGGATGGAGCTCGGAGCACGTGGGGGTAGCTGGCTGGTTTGGACCGTCTCCCAGGCCACCCTACCCGGCCCAGCTTGGGCAATGCTTGCTGAGAGGACAGAGGGCAGGATGGCTACAGGTGGCTGTCTTGGGCCTGCCAACAGAGCAAATACCCAGTGCCTCGCCCAGCACGCCTCCATCCCATCTCCACCTGTTGACCTCCCAGGAAGCCTTTCAGTCCCAGTTCAAATGAAACCTTCTCCAAGTCTTGGCCAATTCCCCAGCCAGAATGAACTAACTCTACAACGATCCCACTGCACGTCCCTATCGCATACTGGTTTACGGATGTCAACTCCCCCCTCAACTGGATCTGAAGCTCTTTGAGACATGTGCTTACCAAGTCAGCAGGAAAGGAAATTCACTGAGTGGTCAGCCCTGGAGGGGCCGGGGGCCTGGAGGAATGAATGAACGGGGTCCTGGCCCCCGTGGGAAGTGCACCCAGCCTCAAGAGGGTGTCCCGGAGAGCATGAGGATGTGGGGCTGCGGGGAGTGCAGGGAAGGAACGTTCACAGCCCACTCCTCTGGGGCCCATCAAGTCACAACTGTGCTCAGCTAACCTGCTTCATCTCCATTCACTCAATGGTCCATAGGGCTGCCAGGAGCCATCAGTTAAATCAAGGTCCATTATGGGTAAATGTTAGCTGCTCTGTAGAGACTCTCCGAGTTCTCTGCAAGCCTGTTTGACGTTCACTGTCTGTCTGCATGAGGACAACAGCCACCACTCGCAATGTCAATGTTCGCCCCCAGTCTGCATGAGGACAGCGGCCATCACTGAAATGGTCAAGAGCAGCAGTGGCTGGGTCTACCCGATCTGCAGGCCTGACAGGGTTTCCGGCCTGGGCTGGCTGCCTAGAACGGCTTGTAAGCACCAAAAGGGCAGGGAACGTACCATTTCTGTGCTCTTTCATCTTTCAGACCTTAATTGGTTTAATTGAGTTGACAACCTCCACAGAGGGGGCTCGGACCTTCCGGCCAAATGGGCCAGTATGGTGAAGTGGCAAGATTCCCTGCCCCATCTCACCCTTCCTGCATGACTTTCAACGAGTTGCAGCGTCCGCCTGTGTTCTGGGATCCCCACGGAAAAGCTGCCATAGCCCAGGGGTTTCTGGGAGCATTGAGGTACACTCCCTCTTGGACCCTGCCCTCCAGTGGGTCCTGGAGACCCTGGGCCCACAAGGCCCAAACACAATGCATCTTTCCTTTGCACCACGCCTGCTCCCCAAGTGACCTCTTTCCCTGTACTGTCCCCCCTCCCCGGCCACCTCTAATCGGAGGCTCTCTTAGCACCTGGGATTAACCCTCACTTCCTCCAGCCTCTCCTGACAAGAAGCAAGGGGCTTCCTGAGGGGGTGGGTCACCTCCATTCCCAGGTGCCCTCTCTCTCGGGACTGCACTCAGGATGCTCTGGGTTTGAGCTGTGGCCCTGATAGGAGTCCCCACAAACCCCTCCGGAGGGCAAGGAGACGCCTCTCCCCATTTTACAGAGGAGCAAACTGAGGCTTGGGCTCGGGAAGGTCCAATGATGTCAGGCCCCTGCCTTTGCCTTCCTGGGGTGAGTCCCAGCCACCTGGGGTGAAGCTCAGCCCTGGGCTGCCTGGAAAGAGAGCCCTTCCCTCTCCCAGCAGGCCCGGGGCCGTGCCCCCTCTGCCGTCTGCTCCCCGTGGGACAGCCCAGCCTCGCCTTTATAGAGGAGACAATGGGTGGGGAAAGGATTTCCCACAGCTTCCACCTGACCCATGAGTGACAGCCCCACTGTTCCTTCTGGACACAGAGCTCGACTTCGGCCACTGCCCACCAGCAGTGTGGGTGCAATGTTCCCACAGGTCTCTGCCCCCTCGGGTGGGCGCAGCCTGGCCAACAGCACCAGGCAGAAGTCACCAAGTCCTAGCCAGTGTTGTTCCCGTCACTAAGCCCTCAGCCCGCCTCTCTGTAAAGTGGGAACGGGTCATGTGGCCATGAGGCTTCCTTGATCTGGCTGCCCCGAGAGCTGGGCCAGGACACTGGGCCCAGGACGAGAGCACAGCCAAGGTCCCATCTGTGGCAGGCCCGAGGTGAGGAGAAGGCAACTTCAGGGTCCCACTTGGGCACGTGCCCTTCACTGCAGCCCTCCTGGAGGCAAACCACCCACCGGCACCTCCCCAACAGACCCATCAAGCAAGGGCTCCCTTTCCAGAAGGACCCATGGCTCAGCAATATGACTCACGTGGGGATTCCTTGAAATAACAGTCCCCCCTTCCTCTCTCCACCCCCAGGCCACTCGAACATGGGCCAGGCCACATCGGACGAAGGAGCAAGAGGAAGAAAAAGAAGCTGAACCCCTGGTACCAGGTGTCAGGGTCCGCGGGGCCCAGTGCACACCTGCAGATGTCAGGCTGGCTACTCTGGGACCACGCGGTGTGACCAGCAGGGAGCAGCTGGGGAGAGGCGGGGGAAACAGGGGTTCCCGGCCGCAGCCGCCCTGCCCTCTTCGGGCCTGCTCTGGTCCAGGGCAGGCAGAAGCTGGGGGCCGGCGGGTGTCCACCTTGGAGACTCATTAACTCTTTGTTTCCCCACCGTCTCCCCGCCAGCCCCAGTGCCAGGCCCTCCCCCTCCCCCATTTGACACACCTTGGCGACCACCCGTGAGGGGAAGGAGGGCTCCAGGGAGGAGGCCTGCATTCAGCTGGGGAGGGCAGGAGGGAGCCCGGGGCGAAGGAGCTGAGGCGGAGAGCAGCCTCATTAATATTTCAGAGGCGCGTCATTGCAGCTCCTGGGCCTTAGCAGCTCCACCACTTGTGCTAGTGGAGGGAGGAGGATGGGAAAAAAGAAGGAAATAAAACCCGAGAAAACAGATTTAAAGGGACAGGCGTCCCGCCCCCCACCCTCCCCCCTTC